GGGAATTTTTCGGTACGCAAGATGAAACGTTTGTCCAGGGTTCACTATATATTACAATACTGTTAACATTAATAAGTATAGTTTAAATTGTATATTCATAATTAAGTATTGATCAGCACACACTGGTATGAATTGTTTGGTCGAGCAGAGATTACTCACTAAAATTGAATCGATAACATAATGGCTCCAAATGAACAGATATTATGTTAGAAGGAACATCAACCAAACAACAGAAACCTTCTCTTTTTCCCTAGTAAAGTATAAAACGCCTATGCGCGAGTTGTTTAGCACAAAAATGTACAACTAAAAGTCATCTGAAACATATAAATGATTGCTAGAAAAACAATTTTTAGGTTATTTATTGACCAATGAGATTCTGACTTGATTATTCTCGTCCATCATTATCAATTACTGTCACAGAAAATGCAAAATAGCAACTGTATTTGTACAAGTTATAATTGTAAAATTATTTTATAATAAAACAAAATGGTCGACATTTTTACACAGGAAATAATCAATAACAAGAAACCAAATGACGAACGTTAAACAGGTCGAAGTTTCATCTATTTTTCATTTATTCAATATTGTTTATACATTGTTGACCCTTGCTTCTAGTGTGATTATGTATTAATATTTATATATGGTCTATTTTTAAAGAGAATTGAAAACCGACTATTTTATCAAATTCACTCTAATGGATCGAGTAAATGAAAATAATGAATAGTGAATTCAAGAGGCCGATACATTCAGATAAATATCTGCATTACAAATTAGAGTATGAATTATTGGCACAATATAATAGTTGTGGAAGCGTTAATCCTCAGACACAGTCATCTTCCAGCGGAAACAGGGAACAATTATGGACTACCAAAACGATTTCTAATTAAATCTCTCAGTGACAGTCACCACCTAAGCATATATGGGCGTAGAATAGGTGTGAGGCAGTATGTTACGCTATCAAAGATATTAATGCACGCAGATACTGACGGAGTACATAATAAAAGAAGCTGAAATTTCGGAACTTTTCTATCAGAAATTATTGTTTATCCGTTTATTGTAAAATCATGAAGTTCCTGATTTATTGTATCTTTGTATTGCTTTAGTTCTACGTTTTAATTTTTCTGTTTTCGCCGTATGTTTCACCCGTCTCATGTTACTATGAATTAATTACCGACTTTTCACTTAGTTAATTTTTATATGTGGTTTAGTTGTGCTTATGCTGTAATTCCCTACTTATGTTATTGTTTGGTCGAGAATTCACTCTGTTTTACTGCACGAGTTGAGTCATAAAACAGTTAGAAGTTATCTATTTTCTACGTTGAGTTTTATTCTGGCTTTCAGAGGAGTAAGTGTGGGAGAACTGTATTCTAGACTAATAGTTGCTAATTATCGGTCGTGATTGTTAACTCACTATCATTGTGTCATTCATGAACGTAAGGTCATTGGTAATATATAAATAACATAGACAAAATAATGGCTACTCTCACTAAATCATACAACTCATAGTTACGGCTTGGTCACACGGGTTCAAATACGTTACAAGATGTCACACCAGTAGACCGTCATGGACATGAGTGTGATTACAGAAACGTCAAAATTCCGGTAAAATGAAACTCTAAGAGTCCCAGAGAATTTCTAGAAGGATGTTATTCAGATAACTTATCAATCAATGGGCATATTGAAATACCAGAGATGTCAGTAGTTACAATGCTAAATGTCAAGCGACCGATATAATCAGTATGAATACAAGGACAAATGAAGACAATAAAACCTACGAATACAGCCAACCACAAATAAAGCTACTAGAACAAGCTGATACAACAGTTGTAGAAAAATTGGAAGGCTTACTTCTACATGAAGTAAGCGTTGACACTCTTCAGAATGATAGTGAAAGCTCAACATTTAAACAATCTGGTTTAGAGAATACAACACCATCAAAATCTCTAAGCTATCTATATTTATCATTCTCTAACTATTTTCACTTATTCAACATTTTCAATATGCTGATCACATCTGATAATCACATTATTAACGTAAATATCCTTATAGAAAAGTTTGGGAAATATCACTCAGTTAACTAGTGAAAACTCAAGAGAAGACATTATTTGTTTTGCTATATCTCCTCCTTTGATTGTCCTTTATAAGAGCAAAGTAGTTAACAGACTTAAACGCTTTAAAACGTGTGATTTTCTGGAAACATACTGTAGTGATCTACTTTTATGAAGAGAACGTGGTTGGTGTAATGGAAGCATTTATTATTATAACCAACTGTACCAGTGATTGTTTTACTGTACTTTTTTGTTCAATTGTACCAAAAACACACTTTTTCCGTTGTTTGTGACCTTGGAATTACTCACTTACGCACGGTAGTCTCGCCTGTAAACTTTGGCACAATCTCAGTATTATTTCGAAACCGCGAGATCAACAACAAATATATCTTAACTACAACCTACAACTGTCCTAATATTTATCCTACTGAGGGTTTTAACCTGATAATTGGCACATGATTGATCTGTAGTGGTTATCATAGTCAACTGCGACTCGACACCACTACAATACTTTGAGGGAATCTTAAAAAAAACTCTTCAGTGCTCCCTGATTATCAGTGATTCATTATCTTATATCGTTGTGTTGTAAAAACTACATGAAAGGCAGTAGTTTCGTGAATCAGTGGAAGGTTTTTGTTTGTTATCTCTTACTATTCTGTGACCATTCTAATTCTATTGTAACCAAAGGTTTACGTAAACCACAAGCAAATTAAATCTACAGCTAGGGGATTAGAAGTCATGCATTTTTTGTCAGGATTATGATTAGTATTGCTAAGTTGTTTTTTAAGCGTTTCGTAATATGCTTGTTATACGCCAAATATCAGTTGATGAAATATAAACGATTATTACATATATTATGAACATTTTATACTAAAATAATTATTCCTTTCATGTCTGTCCTATTCGGAATTCGTCAGTCGGATCTACTTGTGTCCTAGTGTTAATATTGAGAATGAAACTCGAAATCAGCACCTTTCAAACCCCAGCATGTCATTCCCTGAATAAATGATTCCAGATATTTACCAACCTATGGGCTTAAATTGTGTTACATCCGAACGAAGAATAAATGAATGGTAACTACTAGGGATTATTTATGGACTATTATTACATATATTCCTAATACATAACTATCAAGTAACTTTAAGATATTTATATTCATATTCCTTTTCATCTGACGTATTGGCCATTATTATACGATTTAACGTTATTAAATAATTCCCAATCTATTAGTTTTGCATAGAGGAAAGCTGACAGACGCATTCCAAATGAGGGCTGGAATTAGATAAGACTGCTCACTCTCCATCTTCCTATTTCTTTTGGCGGTTGACTGGATTATGAAAACCTCGACATTTCAGGGAAAGCACGGAGTACAATGGACAGCTTAGATGCCACTAGACGATTCGGATTTCTCAGACGACCTAGATCTCCTATCCCGTACACGGCAATGAATGCAGATGAAGAAAACTAGTGTAGCAGCAGTAGGCCTCAACATACACAAGAGTAAAAGCAAGATCCTCACATACAACACAGTGTTTACCAACCCAATCACACTTGGTCGAGAAGCTCTGAAAGAGGTGGGAACTTTCACTTATCTGGTCAGTGTCATTGATGAACAAGGAGGGTCTGTTGAAGATGTAAAGGCAAGGATTGGCAAAGTAAGAGTGGCATTCCTACAGTTGAATAGCGTATAAGACTCAGAACAACTGTCTGCAAGCCAACATCAAAGTGTGAATCTTCAGTTCGAACATCAAGACGATTCTAGTTCGAGAACTACTACAACCATCAGCGAGGAATTAATGGTATTTATAAACAGTTGTCTACAAAAGATACTCAATGTCTGTTGGTTTGATACCATCAACAACAGCCTACTGTGGGAGAGAACAAACCAGCTTATAGCTGAAGAGGAAGTTAGGAAACGACGTTGGAAGTGGATAGGACATACATTGAGGAAATCATCAAACTGCATCATGAGTCAAGAGATAACTTTGAATGCTAAAAGGAAACGAAAAAGAGGAAGGCCGAAGGACACACTACGTTGAGAATTGGAAACAAAAATGAAAAGGATGAATATCAACTGAAAACAACTGGAAAGGGTCGTTCAGAACAGATTTAGGTGGAGAATGCTGGTGAGCGGCCTATGCTCCTCCATGAGGGGTAACAGGAGTAAGTGAGTAATCTATTAGTCATAATCTCTCACACTCACAGCTATTTTTGCACTGATCTTGTGTGATTGTTATTTCTAATTTTATGATATGATGTGGTCTAATTTGCCTGTATATAAACTGAGTATGTTTGAAATATACTTTTCATACAGTGGAGGCTGAGATTTTCTTCTAGTCTCAAGGGACTGGGCTAGGCGAGTAGGACCAACAAGGATTCAGAGTTGACGCGTGGCTGCTAGTGTTGTTTTTACGTGTCATTGGTTTGGGACAAGAACAAGATCATGTAAGCCGGTATTCAGGTTGGCGATTTTGTTGAGTAATAATTTACCGGGTAAAAAGTCATAACAAACTTACCATTTTGCTGTTAATCTTGACTGAACTTCCATCAATCTTCCCAAGGCATATATACATTCAGTGTGGATTGATTCCATATGGCTGTTTTGTCAAAAGTTTTATGGAACAGATGGATTCGGGCTAGCAGCAAGACACAGGACGCTTGTCTCATTTTATTTAGGACTTGTCAGTGTTGATATTTACATTGGGAAATGGCTTAAGTTTTAAACAAATCTAAATAAATTTTAGTGTGCATGCCTAATTAGAAGTAATTTAGTTTTTCAATACATAAGTTAACTTATCCTTAAATTAATTAAGCATATTTTATTATCATATGATACAAGTATACTGGAACTATGCACTTCTAACTAAAGATCAATTATATACTAATTACCTAATTAAATAATGAATGATACCGAACTCATGCATAATTATTTACGAATGTGTGTGTGTGTGTGTCAATACATCAGTCAATCAGTTTTCGAATAAATTCAAACAATAAAAAAGTATCATCAATTGACTGGAAATAAAACATCCGTTTCAACAATTTCATACGACATTACTTCCTAAAAAAAGAGAAATCCTAATTTTCATTCTATCAGAATAATACATAACTAAATACGTATATAACATTTAGACTTAACAAAGATATTACTATTATTGTGTATTACCATATCATGAAGAATAATGGAAGCCAATGGTAGCTTTTTAACAAGTTCATCACTAACACGTGAAGAAACCACAGAACAACCAGGTGGACCAGCACCAACTCCAGCTGATAAAACATTGACTCGAATTATTTCAACAATAAATCATGAAAATTTGGATTATTTTCAAGAATCATTTAATAAATGTCAATTAACCATAGAAGATATTCTTGAAATTCTTGAACATCTTGAAATGTCAAAGAAATTAAAATCATACAGTATGAACAAAAGATGAAAAAAAATCAATAAACACAAGTATATATTAATAAAATTATGTATCTATCACTTTCAGTGCATTATTTAAAGATCATATCTTAAATATGTGTATAATCTTTAATGAGTTATATTCCTATACACTACGTTCTGTACCTTTTAAGAAATAGCATTTTGAATGATTTATCTTTATTCAAAACGCTTGTAGCTGATGTAATGATCAATTGTTCTTTGATTACTGGGTATAGATTTTATTGTGATCTTTACCTAAATAGATCTTTATTAAAAGTATCCAATTATATGTGATAGGGTATCTAATAAATCTGAAACAATAACGGGAAAAAAGCTTATTAATTCATTTAAACAAATATATCTTGTTTTACTAGAAAATTCTATCTTTTTTCACATTTCCATATTAATATGAAATTTAAAAAAATCTATCACTTTGTAATTAAAACAATGACTCTTTACTTATTACTTACTTACTTACACCTGTTACCCCTCGTGGAGGATCATAGGCCGCTCAGCAGCATTCTCCATCCAACCCTGTCCTGGGTAATCCTTTCCAGTTTGTTCCAGTTGTTATTCATCCTTTTCATATCTGCTTCTATTTACCGGTGTAATGTGTTCTTTAGCCTTCCTCTTTTCTGCTTCCCTTCCGGATTCCAAGTTAGCGATTGCCCTGTAATGCACATTGGTGATTTCCTTAATGTATGTCTGATCCACTTCCAACGTCTTTTCCTAATTTCCTCTTCAGTTAGAAGCTGTTTTGTCCTCTCCCATAAAACGCTGTTGCTGATAGTATCGGGCCAGTGAATTCTGAGCATTTTGCGTAGACAACTGTTTATAAATACTTGTACCTTCTTGACGATGGATGTGATAGTTCTCCACGTTTCAGCTCCGTACAGCAGAACTGTCTTGACGTTCGTATTGAAGATTCTCACTTTGAAGGTAGTTAAGGGTAGTTTCGAGTTCCATATGTTCTTCAATTGTAGAACTGCTGCCCCTGCTTTGCCAATCCTCGCCTTTACATTTGCATCAGATCGTCCTTGTTTATCAACGATACTTCCCAGGTACGTGAATGTTTCTACCTCTCCCAGGGTTTCGCCATCAAGTGTGATTGGATTGGTGTTGTATTTGAGAATCTTGCTTTTTCCTTTGTGTATGTTGAGGCTTATTGATGCGGAGGTTGCTGCTACATTTGTTGTTTTCGTCTTCATTTGTTCGTGTGTATGAGATAGGGGGGCTAGATCATCTGCGAAGTCCAAATCATCTAATTGATTCTGAGATGTCAATTGTATTCCGTGTTTCCCCTCATCTTTACTTATTGAGTATATAAAATTAAATTAATTCAAGTGTAAACTTTAACAAGATTCTAACCTAAGAAGTGGAGAAATATCAAACGTCGAATTTCAACCAAATGACTAATTCTTATTGTACTTATCATAAAATCTTAAGTTTTTTAATTTGATTTCGTTGTAAATGGTGAATGTAAACTTTCGGAAAGTTTCAATTTTGTTTTAAATCAAGAATACCCCTAGTTCTTAATAATCTATTCAAAGTCAATTAATGTTGGAATACAATCTAAAAATTGAATAAATCACCTTGACTGATCAATCAACAATGATTCTTATCTATTGGGAAACATTCATTTTTAATTATTATCATAATCTGTAGGATGTATTCGTCACAAATCGATCTCATCCGGGATAACATTGGAAACAGTCGATAAATGAACACCAAATACTCTTTCAGGAATTGAACTCAGGAGTTTCAATTCTCTTGACGAACGCCTAAACATGAAAACCACTGCCTCATTATTCAGTTATGCAACTAGAATATCAATCACTTTGTGATCTATCACAAAGACCAACCTAGTTTCCAATGGTACTCCAAATGTGGTTACTCTTTAACGTGTACAACCTAAAAATCAAATCAGTCTGCATTAAACCTCTATCATCCGAACCAATAAATGAAGGGGCAGCGGCCTCGTGACTTCCAAAGAATCTCGGCTTTCATCATGAGGCTTCATGATTCTTCCTTCAACTCCCAGGACAGAGTTTAAATGGTTTGAATAATTTTTTCTGGTTAGCGTTCTTTTAGCGAGTTAGTTTTCTACGGGATGGGGTCGCTAACCCCATGCTCAACATTCCTCCTTTATCTGGGCTTGGGACCGGCAGTAGCCCCCTGAGGAGCCGCAGGCGGAGTTGAACCAATAAATGCTTTAACTGAAATTTAGTTCATCATAGTTTAATCTCTTATTATTTAAAATAATCACCAATATTTTTTTGCAGTCAGAACTTTAAAGATTTAGTTAATCTAGTTGATCAGTTAACCATTTTCAAATCAAATCGGTTTATATCTAAAGTGAAATGTAAATCAGGTAATTTCAAAGTGTTTCATTCAAGAAAAACAGAAAATAAAAACAACCTAACTAAAATAGGATGACGTCATACTTATTTCATTGATATCAGTATTTATTTTTATACACAAGTTGAATAGAGGTAAATGTGAAAACACTTTTGATATTTTCAATATTGAATGTTACATTGTATCAAAATGTTAAAGATTTTGGTGAGGAAGTTTAGGTAGTTGATTTACACTCAATAATCATATTCTCTTCATTCTATGAATCAATTATACAAACTTAACTAACTGATACTTTATATGAGATTCTTAGTTGAACGTAATTATTTAGTCAGTCAGTCAGCTGCAACGTAGGACCAGGCACATGATTAGTACATTACGAACATACATTCTAATCCATTTTGTAGATTTTAGACTTATACTTTATGTCACAGGTTGGTCTTGATTAACAAAACATCAGGAGTGTTCACCCACGATCCCAGGACATTTTGCTTTATTAGGAGTGCTTAACCTCTAGACCACTGAGATGGCATCCAAGGGTGTATATGTCTCTAACTTCAATCAATTTGCTATATTATTTGAGGATCTTCCATTGGCTTTAGTGAGTAATTTTCTCATATCCGATTTAGATTTCATTGGTCACAGTATCTCACTAAAACTTCTGGAACCACATTTGAAAGTGGGTAAGCGATTATTATTATTAGAATAGAGGTTTTGTGAAGATTATCAAATTTTCTTTGTTAAAATCACGGACTGATCTTAGTTAAACAACTACCGGCTTGATTAATAGAGAACATACAACAATCGATGTGTAATTAAGAAATCCTTGTGTTTAATGAGTGTGCTTTATAATGCAAATTAATTGTTTCTACCACACTCAACTTTAATGAAAACTCATTTAACAACAGTGTGTTGTGACTTTATAAAAGGCCGTCGCCAATTTGTTATGACTATAAAATAAGAACAAGGCCGTATGCCAATTCGCTACGATTTTATGTCCGGCTATTATCACGCGAGTTATTCACCAATCGGAATACGACTTTTCTAATCTAAACACTGTGCCAAATCAACGACGTTCAACTGGTATGAGCAGTTTAGCGTCCTTATTAGTCCCTTGTTCGCCTAGACCTTCCAATTGAGTCTAGAACACCAATTACAGCTTCTGCTATGCCAATCATCTTTTTCAAGCATACTTAGTTTATATACTAGATAGACAGACGGCACCACACCATAAAATAGAAAATAATATTTGTACAAGATCAGGCCAAATGTGGTTGTGAACGTGGGATACAATAATCAATAAACTGAGTATAATTTAGGGACAGTAAATCGTATAATAAAGATCCATAGATCAAAATGAAGCTTATAATAAGATGAATATATAGAATTAATCTAGTCACTGAATAGTTATACAATAACAAGATATATAGAATAATCATCCATTATTAGGTCCCGGAAAGTTACCCGTAGTCATTTCTTCACACCTTGTTATATATATATATATAGCATTCAACTCAGTAGTTCCAGTAACCATATGAAAAGACATATTGTTGAAAGCGTTTTGAACACTAAGAATACCTTAACATTTACTGAAAACAGAAGATAAGTCTAATTTCTTTTTAGTTAAACAATACTCGCTCATATATAAATGAATATTACAAAATTAATGTAATTTATGAAACTTATAAAATGTCTTTATGGGATATTCATTAGCGATTGGATCATACATGTAACTATCATGCTTAGTTCCTTTTTGCCATATTCGAAATATTTTATTTTTCATTGATGATTAATATCACGTTTCCGTTTCTTCGTCTTCTTCTTCTTCCTCCTCTTCTTCTTCCTTATTTTTCTTGATACCCCAACTAACACACTAACTACTAACTTTATGACAAGTAGGAATTTTGAATGAGATAAAAGACTTAAAAAATGGATTAATTTTTAGACAATGATTAGATTTTTGAAATAAAACAGTTTTCTTTCGATTTCTTGATAACCTTCGTCATGAATCGACATTGATTGAGAAATGACCAAAAATTAGGTAACAATGAGTAACTATGTAATTCTACTTTAAGACTCCGTAAACTTATTTATTCACTATCATACAGAAGATTGAACTAAAGATTTTCAGGTTTTGGTGTAAACATGATCTCTTTAAACTAATAACTTGATTCACTTAGTAATGTGCATACACACTGTATGCAAATATACCAATAAGAGACTGATCAATAGCAGTGCTAAACATCAATGGGAAGATTCAATTAAACAATACTAAGTGAATTTAAACTTCACCCAATCGCACAAGCAAGTGGCTATCAGGACTCAGAAGCTGAGTGGATAACGCGATGGCGTTTGAAACGAAAGTTACTGGGTTCGAACATAAACTCTGAGATGCAGGTACATCCAGCTGACGAGTCCCAAATAGAACGAAACGCGAGTCCTGGATTCCACTGCTAGTCACTATCCATCTTTGCTTAATAACTTGATATTTAATGGTTCCTATTTCTAAATTCAGTCAATTCATGATATATAACTAATGTTATTTCATAGTTTTAGTGACACATATTTCACTTTCAAAATGAGTGAACTTCTCTAGTCACCAATCACTGGAATGTCTGAAATATATGCGGGCGGTGTTTAGATTCATAAAACAGGAGATTTCCAGTACTGATTTATTTAAAAAAAATATTTTCTAATTCGGTTGGTTAGATTAAATAGTTAGTGTTTTTCTGTAGTGAACATTGTATCAACTGCTCGAACTGTAGCAAGAGGTTAGATTCACAATGAATTAGCTTCACATTATCCAACCTTATAGACTTTTCCAGAAGACTATGAAGTCATTCTATCAGCATACAATGTCTAAACTAGAAGCTTCTCATGTAATTCTTGTACCGAAGCATATATTGTTGTCAGCTAGATAAGAATGTAGCACTGAAACAAATTTTCGTTTAGTCCATTTGATATATAACTCTGATCACCAGTATGTTAACATCTGAATGCTTGAATTTACCATCGTATAAGTTTCTCAACTATGCGTGACCATTTAACTTAAAAGTTGACTCCCGAAAATACAGTTCTGTTTGATAATTGTGGCGTTACATGATTTACAATCTCAAAGGGAATATAATCA